GGCACTGCACAGATAGCTCCCTGACAAGGACCAAGTAGTTTCTTTCCAATTTCGTCTATTCATCACAATTATCAACATCCTAATAAACATATACTCATTTGACGAAGTGGAACCGACAAACACAAGAGAGATCAACTGCTCATACCCAATCCAAGGGGTGGCAGCCCCCGAGATTCGAACACGCGACTTTTACTCATTGCATCACGGGCCTCTTGTTTTTTTGGTTGCAATCGCGAATATGATGGTAGTAGGACGCTGACCTATCGGGTAACAGAACATGCTCGTCCCCGTTACGCCTTGGAGGGCTGTAGATTGATCACAACGGGATGAGCATGCTCCATAACCAGATCGATGAGCGCCCTACTGTGATATTGTTATCATTGTGCTATCAATGTGACGGCGACGGTCAATAATATAAACCGTGCACTTGTTTGAGTACGTTGGACCATCTCATTACTAGACTCCTATGCGCATCAACGTCGGCGGCTGCCAGCATGACTGCTTCCCACGTCCCTGTAATGGTTCAATTGCAGCTCAGACTACGTGTTGCTGAGACAGTATTGCCTCAGAACCTACCAAGAAGTACTAAGTCACAATGACCATCGCAAAGATTAGCCGCCTGTCAAAATTTCAATTGACTGACTGTGCATGGCAGGTTTATATGCCGTTTTTAGTTTGTAGCGCCGAAGTAGTGGATGCACTCAGAGCACTTAAACCATCAGGCCAAATCCCACATTATATGTAAAAGACAGTAGGCACCAGAATGAGAGGTTGATTGTGCGCAGAACCCTGAGTTGTTGTGTTAGACAGTAGTGGTCACGGGCGAAGCTAGAGCTATTCTTGACTGCGTTCAGTCATGTCCGAGAAAGTGTTAGACAGTGGTGGCAGTTGCCTTTATGTGATGGCGGAGCTAGTTCAGATGGTTTCCAATTATTATGTTGGTTTGACCGAGGGGGCTGTTGGGTATAGAGGCCCCGCCACATGGGCCGAGGGGGAGGGGGGTGTTCACATGGCCCCGTGGCAGCCGCGACTATTTGGACGCGTTTGTGTGCGCAATTGGAAGTAAGTCAAGAGTCTGTAAGTCAACGAGTCGGAAGCAGTTGCCTGCGAAATTGCATGTCGTGGAGACATTGTTCATTGAATGAGGAAGCCGGGCAGCGTTGTTGGCTGTCAAAAGCTAAAAGTCTTGTGCATTTTTGCTGCTTGACCTACTTTACTGAGGTCAGCGACTTTTCAGAGTCTTCCCCTTCATGTTACTGTCCGCTGAAAAAAGCGTTGCAGTCTGCTAAGCACTCCAGAAATAGATAAAATGAAGCTATTTCGTTGCTTTGATAGGTCTATCTTA